CCATTTGTAGACTAGTCACTGTACAACATCCAAGTTCAGTACTCAGTACCAGGCTCAGGCTGTATACAGTTGCTTCATGAATAAATTTGTTAAATTCACAATATCTGAAGGTTTGGGCTTATATCTAACCGAGAAGCAGGATTTCAGCAAGAGTAAATCTTGACCTAAGCATTAGCTATAATTTTTAGCATCTGTAAGATTACCGGTATAGTGAGCAAAGTGGTCCGTAAAATAGAGATGTCGCGGACCATTCGGGTCCGTAAAACAGATTTGTCGCCGACCATGGTCCGTTGGTCCGGTCCGGTCCGTTTTTTAGGGACGACCTGAAATGCGGATCGATTCTCAGCCACGTGATAGCACATGTGTGAACATGGCTTTGCCTAAGAGAGCGTTGACTATAGAAGAAGCTATTGCCAATGCCAAATTGAAAGACCCTACAGTTCCCTATGTATGTCAACTTCCACACAAACCAAAAGCATATCAATGCTTTTTATTTAAAGCCCAATCATCATCGAATGGAGGTGAGTATTAATGTCGCTAGCTACTTCTCAGTACCTATTTGACATATCAATGGTTATTTGTTGGGTATTCTAATGATGTACTGAAAATCCTGAACTATGAAACTAATTAGAATCAGTAAAACTGTGGTTAAATTATATTCATTTAATGTAGCATATAAAATAATAGTAGTGTAAACCATGTCATACAGCCAGGACTTAGAAAATAAATGATGTATCATGCTGTGAATAAACAATTAGAGTAGATGTGCCAATTATGAGACACTTAAGATATTTGAATTTTCAAATTTTATAATTGAAATGACAGGCAATGTCCCATAATACAAACCGTCTCATAATACCAGCACTTACAAATGAATGAAATATTAATATCAAATGGTACTTCACATGTGGCTAACACGATAATGTATTATACCAAGTGAATGTGTATAGTGATTTCATGCTGTTATTGTATTATAATGTAGTGTGTACAATATTCTATCTCTCTGCAAACACAATAATAATTTATTATTTTTAATTTAGAGGATTGGAGGACAGATGGATACCGCTGGTGTAATGGTGGGGTTCAAAAACTACCAAAAGCAGACCCGAAAATTAGAAAGATGTATTTTGATATAGACACACCAAGTGGTACATCAAAAGATTTTCAGCGCAATGCCTACCAACTACTTGGCAATACTGAAATCACGCTTGTTCACTATATTGGTAAAGACGATGTTGCCGTTGATTTCCCTCATCGAGCTTCTAAACATGAGAGACCGTTCAACAGAACTGCATCTTCAACTATGAACAGATTGCACAACTTAGTAAAAGATAGCACCCCTGCTGTTGTTTATAAGAAAGAGGTTGCGTCTATGCGTTGTGATAGGGAGAAAGTAGCCTCACAGTCTCCAAGGGACCTGAAGCAGCTTCGTAACTTGAGACATGATTTTCTTCATAAATCAAGAATGTCAAAAGATGCATTATATAATGTGCATGAAATTGCATATGATATTCCAGGTTTCATATGGAAAATTATAACTTACCCTGATTTGATTGTCATATTTGGACTGCAAGAACTCCTTGATGAAATGGATAAAGTATTGCTGTTAGGTGGTAGTGGTCAGTTGTTGTCATATGACACCACATTTCAGCTTGGGGATTTCTATCTTTCACCACTCCTTTTTCACCATAACATCTTTAAAAATAATCCAGTTATTCCGGCTATTTTTATGTTGCATGAAAGAAAAAAAACCGAAACCCATACCTTTTTGTTTCAAGAGATTAAATCTCATGTATCATCTCTTTCTACTAGTAAGGCACCATTTGTCACAGACAGAGAGAAGGCCATTACAAATGCTTTACAAGCTGAGCTGCCTAAAGTATTTCATGTGTCTTGCTGGAATCATGTCATTAGAGACATTAGATTTTGGCTGAGTAAACATGGTGCTTTGTCATCTGATATCGCTGTTTATTTGGATGATGTACGGTCCTTATTTCATTCTTCTGCTAAATCTGATTACGAAGCTAAGCTAAATAAATTGAAAGCCAAGTGGGATGCTGTTTTTTTGGAATATTACTTACAAGAAATTCACAGAGATATTGAACTTTTTGCAAGATGGAAGCTGGAGGAAAAAGGGATATATAATCCTTATAGCGGCATCACCAACAACCAGTCAGAATCTTTGAACTTTGTATTAAAAAATCTCTTAGACTGGAAGGAAGCTCCTATTGATTGTATCATTTTATCAATGTATCACCTACAAGCCTTTTATGTAAATGAGGTTAGACGAGGCTTTGCTGATATTGGAGAATTTAAAATTGAACAGCAGTATAGATCCATGATTTCAGATTCACAATTGGTTGATTACATTCCAGCTATTTCTCCGGATGATATTGTTTCTTCAATCCGTGCATCAGACATGTCCGAGATAGTAGTTCATGATAGCACTGTTGGTGATGCATCATCATCAGTTTCTGTGACTGAAAGCAAGCAAAATGCTATGCTCTCAAGTTTAAGTCGTGCCCGTGTCCTTCTTTCAAATGGTGACATTTCATATGATGAAAAGCTTCATGTTTTTAATGTAAAGGGATCTGCATCAGTGCATGTCGTGGCATTGTTTCCAAAGGAGAAATGCAGCTGCCCTTCCACTAGCACTTGTTATCATGTTCTTGCAGCTAAGCTTTTTCTTGGGATGGATGTTGCTGAATGTAAACCAAAGAACCAAGTCTTAACAGAATTGAGAAGAAATGTTCGAAGGAAGAAAGAAAAAAAAGGAGGCCGTAAGCGTCCTCGACTAAACGACATTGATGAGGTCGATGATGAAGGTGAGGGCAAATCAATAATTTTGTTTTTCATTTTGATTGAAATACACATGCAGATGGTGAATCAAATCCAAAGAAGCAGTCTTTAGGTACAAATATCTAGATGTAATTAATCATATAATTACTCATACATGTAGATGTTACAGCTGATATTGGTGTCAATGACGATAATGCAGAAAATCCTGAAAATAATGAAGTAAAACATTTATAAATATTTATGTTTTCATTATAGATTTTAATATCAAGTCATTGTATCATCTTGATGGGTGCCATGTAACACATGAATATATGCATCAGTTGCTTCATGCAGAAATGATCAATATTAAGGTATATGCTGACTTGGCAGAATGTTCTTATCTTCCACTTTACAGATCATTGAATTATACATCAAAGTTTTGGCAAAAAGTTATTCAACGAAGGTTTTAAATGTTGGTTTGGGTGTGGATTTATTAATTAAATTTTAGGAACGAGCAGTAGCCGTTTTATCTTCTCGTTTACTGAACGTAACGACAAATATAGATGAAACTACTAAAGAGATGCAGTGCCTCCCTGTAAGCTATTAATTCATCATTTCTTCTGTATTAGCTTTTCTTGTCAGGATGATATGTTTGCAAGTGGACTGCTTTTTTGTCCTTTGTTTCTACAGACTAAAAATCATTTCATTTTGATGGTTAGTATAATAATAATGATGATGATGATAATAACAATAATAATAATAAGAGTATTCATAAATATATGACTTCAACTATTTTCATTGTAGGTAATTGACTTTTTGCCGAAAAGAATACTACTTTTGGATTCATTGTTTGATTTACATTTTAGTGCTAATCAGAAGCATACAACAAATATCAAGTATATAGTGTAGTTTATGAAAATATTGTTAATTTTGTATTTACAGAGAGCTCCTTGTGTATGAGGGCAAAAGAAGAAATATTGACTTGACACAGTTGGAAGAAGAAATGCCTCAAGTATGCAATGATTTTGTAAAAATCATGTGTGATTAATTTTATTTTAATTAAATTATAGAACATTTCTCAACAGACTGATGTGTCATCATGTGGCGTGTTTGTTTGCAAGGTTAGTATAATAATTTATTGGTTTCAAATTTCAACTTTATCTATATACATGTAGTATGCAAAATGCTGTGTTTTGGGTCAAAGTCTTAACTTCACTGTATGTGTTACAAAGTTACACTGCATTTGCCTAGTTACTTGCATTATGTCCATTAGGTTATCAATGATTTATCTTTAAGAATGGAGGTTGCTAATGATATAGCTCAGTGGTTTTATTTTTAAAAATAATATTGCTTCATTGCCGTTGTGTATAGGGGTGTTTCAGATGAATTAAATGTCACAATTTGCAACACATGCCAGTTACCTTTCTCAGCAGACAAGTTTTTCGACCACACAAAAGGCTGCAGATGTCTTTATTCCCAGTTGTGTCCAGATACTCAACCGACACAAAACAATGTGAAAGGTACACAGATATGTTTGTTATAGAACATGCGTTAAGGAGTTTCAACAATAGAGATCCCTCATCAAGAGATAGGGAAAGCAAAACGTAAACGTTGCGGTATTTGTCAGAATTGCAGAAATAGTGATTGTGGTAAATGTAAATATTGTTTGGATAAGCCCAAGTTTGGTGGAAGGGGAAAGTTAAGGCAATGCTGTGTCAATAAAAGGTGCCTTCAAATGACCACTTCAAAAGGTATAGTAATTATTAGGTAAATTTAATTCTCGTCATAATATTTCAGAATTAAGACAGACTGATTGTATGACAAAGGAGGAGAAACAATTGTCTACCAATAGTGCAGAGCCAGTTCTTTCTTTGCCCATAATAAGTGATAGCAATGGAATGCCTCGTGACAAGGAACAAGATGAGAGATCAAGTTTGTTAAAGCCATAATAAAATTAGATAAAAGTTGAATTTTATTATTGTACAGGTAGTGGTACTAGCAAACAAGTAGCCTCATCGAACAAGCAAAGTAGTAAATGCAGCATATCTGGGCTGGCTTTCCCAGCAGTAGTTAATGCTGTAGTTGAGACTACTGATAACAGCAAATCATTTGCCATGAAGGGACACACAACAATCATGAAAGATGTTATTGAAGTTATTGCAAGACATGCTAAAGTGAATGGTGAGGTGAAATTTTTATTACCAATTAAGTTAAGAAATTGATAGATAATGAGGATTTTTTGATTATTGAAGACTATAACGCTAAAGGAAAAACAGGATTATCAATGACAGAGTTTAAATATATTTGTGATAATGGATGGATTAATGACAAGGTCAGTAATACTTTGATTGATTATTAAAATTAGGCTACATACAGATAGTTAATTTCTACATGTCTATTTTAAATCACAATCAAAAGTTCACATTTGCAAGAACAGATTCTTATTGCCTATCAACTCATTTTTATCCTGCTGTTTTAAAAGGAGAGTGCGATAAATTTATAAAGGTACATGTATATACTCTTATTTCCAATTAAGTTGTTTTATCTATTATAGTGTAACTTACAACACATACGTCTAATTTTATGCCCAGTTAATATACAGTCTCACTGGATACTTGTAGTGAGTTAGTTGTAGTGTTAATAATAATGTTCAAATATTAAAGGTTTTTGACCTTGGTAAGAGGCTGGTTAAGTGTTTTGATCCTATGGAGCATAAAGAGCACAAAGAAGTTATACATAATATCAGGTAATTTTGTTATGATAAATTTTAAATTCTGTAATTATTAGCATTGCTTTGGAGAAATTTTACATGACAAATTATGGAAAAAAGAGGAGCATTAGGAATTGGAAAAGAGTTGTTGATGAAGTAATAATTCATTGATTGAAAATATGTTACAAATGATTTTATCAGGAAAGGAGTATGCAATCAAATTTTATTGACTGTGGGATATTTATATGCAAGGTAGACTACTAAGTTTACTAATGATTAACCCATTTGAGCTTTAAATTTTTCTTTATTTCTTCACTTTTAAATTCCTAGTATGCTCGTGCGATGACGTCAAACAAAGATCTAATTTTTTCGGTAAGCTGCTTGGCCATAACTTTTTACATCATGATTTATGTGTGAATGTTTTACAGACTGATCCAGATTATCTCCGTATATGGATCCTTCAAGAAATAATAAATCCGTAAGTTTGTACAAAGTCATTTTAAAGTTACAGATTTAACACAATAGCAAACTGCTGATGATATATGATATGAAAATTTCAAACTTTGATTGGGTTGGGATAACAACTGAATTTTCAGATTTGTTACCGCTAGAATTGAAGGTGTGTCTCTATTGCAGCACATTAATGCTCTCTATGAATTATTTTTATATAGATAGCAAGTCATACACCAGATATGGCAGAGAGTGAAATGGTTTCCATGCATCAAATTGATTCTGATCTTGAATATACCCTATCACCACTCACAAGTGGAGATGAAGATGGTAAATACAATCTTCATCATATTGTTGATGCATACTGTTTATAGACTGTGACTGCTCGCTAATTCTTGTTCCGGAATATCAAAAGGACACCTTATATGATGACATTACAGGGATTAATCACAAAGAATCTTATATTTCAGCAGCTGAACAGTTTGTGAAATCTTCCCACCCACCTATCAGGTTATTCTATCCATTATTAATATGGTAGTTTTATAGCATGAATACATGTAGAATTGGCTCCATTCCAGTTAAAGATTTATTTAGTGCTATTAAGAGTCATGAAGTTAGTTCATATACATTTTCTAATTATACGGCAACTCAATTAATAGGGCGAATTCATTAAAACTGCTTTGGATCCCTCATCAAGTGAATTTTTTACAGAAAATGTATTTGAGCAAAAGAAAAGGCATATACCAGATATCATATGGCCTTTAACAGATGATGTACTTGTAAGTCATTCAGTGCTACTACTTTTTAATCTTCATTTTTCTAAACTCACATTACAGTCACAACAAATATTTCTTTACCTGGAGGAACTAACCAGTTTACACTGTAAGGATGTGGGTAGAAGGAAAGCAACTGCAGTTAAGTTGCTTTGGCCAGAGGTAACTATATTTCTAATACAAATATTTCAACTTATGTTCTTTTATTATTTCCGTAGGCAATGGTAATATGTTTAGAAAAGTTAAAAGGAATAACACATGAGGAAGCTGTATATTTTTATAAAAAAGAAATTGCAACTATCCTACCATGAAGTTAATATATTGTCTTTTTGAAGCATTGAATCTGCTTATAGATCTATAACTGTTATATGATACTATAATGTACTTGAATATGTACAAAAATTAATAATAATTATTGACATAGTGATTATAGCCAGCCTACTGGCAAGCCATGATTGAAACTGGAAACTGAATAATAATGATGCTTGTTAAGGACTCAAATAGAGCTTATATGTACTTTCAAATGCGCTCCTAATGCATAGATATCATTCTTGCAGACAAATCCATAAACTTTGGGCGTTGATCCGTACTTCGATACAGATCCGCGAGCGTTCTGCGTTGATCCGCATTTCAGCCTGATCCGCATTTGATCCGCGTGGATCCACATTTCAGGCTTGCCCGTGTATTTACCTATCTGGGCCCTTTCTTCTGGCATGTAATCTTAATACTTCGGCCGTTTTGACATTTTTTCAACTTCCATGTCTTGTTCAGATAAAGTACATTTCACAGATTCATTTACCTTTGCAAGTTCATTATTAGAGAGGGACAGTACCTTTTCTGGAAGATTGTGTTCACCTGATTTTTAGACACTGGCTTAAAGAAACGTAGTAAAGCCATTTTAGCTTCTAACCATGCTTTTGACTAAGTAAAACTAATGTGGGCGTGGTAATTGGGCGTGTATATGCATAAATGGAATTATTGCTTGCAGATTTTATTTTGGCATTTTGTATAAATCTGCCAATCCGCCAATATAAAAACCCCGTCAACATTTCATCTTATACGGTAAATCAACTTTTGAATATTACTTAGTGGCCCAATGTAGCCTGAACAATGGGTATCATGGTTAAAATTGCACAAGACAGGTGCAACGTATAAACTATGATATATTTCAGGCAACATTAACACTGGATTGGGCAGCCAATATAATACACTGATGTAGATTAGGCGGAGATGCAAATGACAGAAAATTCACATTAGATACATTATATAGATAATGATCCTGGTAAGCTGCATAAGCAAGAAAAGTCTCGTGTTGCTATTTTGAATGCTGATATGTAACAGACTTTAGCTTTTCAAATTTTATTCATGCATGAGGAGTTAAGGATAACTATGATCAATTACCTGTATCCTTTTGCAGAAGCATAAATATTGTTACATGTGTGAAGTACCATAAATTTATAAAAGTATCTATAACAACCACTGACATCAATAGTGTAGAACAATGACATCTGTCATATTCAACTTTGAGAAATTTTGACTCAATAGAATTAAACTAAGCAATGCCAGCAGTCTTGCATACCAAATATCATCACTACCAAAATTAAAAAACAAACATTAAAGTATTCAAAAAATCTCAGCAGTATAGGATGACAGGTAATTAATACTCAAACAAAAATCTGCAAATGAAATAGAAATGTAAAATGAATGAAAATAGACACACTTGTATTTTAAAAACTTCTCACTGAATCGATCCATAGTTATTATTCTCAGTTAAACGATGTGGAAAGATATTAGAACCCTCCCAATTAGATGATACATTTCTTTTCTTCAAGCATATACTTAATACAGAATAAAAAAGAAAAGACAGTAGTGGCAATGCTATGAGAATAACTTGAAGAGCAATGATAACATTGAAGATAATATGATTATCCTTTAACTCATATTCAGGTTCACGAATGAAAAGGAAACACTGAAGAACAGCACCAAAATTAACAAACAGTATATTAATAAGCAGGAAAATGTCAATATTATTGTGCTTCTGCATTTGAAAGGGCCGATAAAGAGAATGCAGTAGAATGATGAGAAGAAGAATAGCAACGTTAATGCTACTATCCCAAGCAATATTAAGTAACAGCTTTCCAGGAACCATAGCAACACGATAGAGAAAAAATAGTCCTGCAAAACAACGGCAATCATCCCTAAAA